AGTGACAACGGTGACACCGCATCATGAGCCAAGTAAGGAAGATCTGCAGCAGCAGAAGCAGCAGCAACAGTAGCAGTAGTAACAGCAGCAGCAGTATCAAAGCCTTTTCCACGTAAGAAACTCTCGTGCTCAGCAGCAGCGGGAAGGTGCGCTGTCGCCCTGACTGCTGCGGCAGCAACCGCTGCTACTGCAGCAGATGGAGGCGCTCACACCATCTCCCTCAAACACTAGCAGCAGCAGCGGAAGCAGCAGCAGATGAAAAAGCATACCGTTGATAAGCTGTTTCTCGTCGATTTGGACGTCCTTTTGCCGCAGTGCTTTCTGCAGCAGCGCCATCCCCAAGGCCTTCTGCATGCATACTCGCCGCGTCTGCAGCGCCACAGACAGAGCGCCCAGCTGCAGCGAGAGGTTCCTTCCCGGACCCCCTCCTGCTGCCGCTGCTGCTGCTGAGGGCAAGCCCTGGCAGCAAATTAGCGGCTCATACATACGCAGAAACTTCTCGCCAAACCGGGGGATGCTAAACAACGCCTAAAAGCAAAGATAAGCAACCGCAATCTCAGAACCCTAAACCCTAAACCCTAAACCCTAAACCCTCGTCGCTGCAGAGTCATTGGCTTTTCTACACCGACCCCTGAGGAGCAGCCATCTCAGTATACCTGAAGCACGGCGTTAACGTAGCAGGTGTTTCCCAGGTTTCTGAGTCCTACGAAGCCCGCTCCTCTCTGCTGCTGCTGCTGCTGTTCTGCTGCAGAGGNTTTCCCAGGTTTCTGAGTCCTACGAAGCCCGCTCCTCTCTGCTGCTGCTGCTGCTGTTCTGCTGCAGAGGCAGTTAAAGAGGCCCAGTCGTACTTGCAATTCAAGTCGATCGCTAACTCATTGGTGCTGCGTTCTGTCTTGCGAAGCTGAAGCCACAGCCAGCCAACAGCAGCAGCAACGGCACTCAAACATCAGCCGAAGCACGCCGGGTGACAGCACAGCATCAGTAGCAGTAGCAAGAGCAACAACAACAGCAGCAAGACCCGCAGCAACAGCGCCGGTTGCATCCGTCCATACAGCCGTTTCCCGCGTTAGTCAGAAGCACTGCCAACAGCATGAACATCAAACCAGCAGCAAGAACACCAGCAGCAGCAGCAGCAGCAGCAGCAACCGGTGATAGATGTTGTTACCTGTTGCGTCTCTATGCCAAACCTCGCTAGGTGCTCCGGCAGCTTGGGGTCGATGACAGTGCTATCTTCGTCTGGGGCGTAGGAGAAGACGTCTGCTGAGTCTGCTGAGATCGTGCCCAGCTTGACGATGAGAGGGTATTTTGAGCCTGTCTCCTGAAAGTAGAAAGAGGCAGCAGATCACAGCAACAAATGCTGCATCAGATGAAAATATAATAAAACAACAAAGATAGACACCAAACGCAGATAACCCGATACACGAAACACAGTTTCTCCTCACGTTCAACTGACGCAATGCCGTATCTGTTGAAATCATGATAAAACCAGAAACGCGAATACAGGCAGGAAAAAAGAAAATCAAGGAGATAAAGATAAAGAGGAAACATCACTGAGAAAGGAGAGAAGAAAACCAGAAATGCACAGGGAGAGGGTACCAACGACAGCACGGAAGGAGCAGCAGGCAGCAGCAAGAGAGGAGCAAAGCCGAGGCAGAAGAAGATGAATACGGAGACGAAGCAAACGAAACCACAAGGAATAAGCAAGGAACAGCAGCACAGGAAATGAAAACTCCAACAGCAACAACTGTAGCAGCAGCAGCAGCAGCAGCAGCAGCA